CATGTACCGTTGAATCTCCTGTGACGGGAAAAACACTGGTTTCCAAACCAACATTTCCGTTCCGTTCATCCCAATAAGGTGTGTATGTTTGGTCACAAGCCGTACATCGACCTCTGAACCCTTTCCACCTTTGAGCCATAATCAAATACGCAACGCAACAAGAAGAAATGTCTATGTCCAATCAAGACTGCGCTCGCGTAGAATGGACACAGATAACTTTGCTTGGGGGTTTTCTAAAATAGGGGTACCCGAAATCATTCCAAATTATACCGTTTTAGTATTGGAACCCATGCCTTTGGGGTACAGTACCACCATTTTAGGAAACCCCTATTTGGTGATTTTCTGTTTAGGACCCCCCCACTTCTTTCCAAAAGTCGTGATGCTCTTCGCGTGTCAGGAAAGGCGACAAGTCTGCAAAAGCCTTCATCATGTCACAGGAAGCCTTGTCGGAGGAGATACGGCCGTGGGCGCCCACAGGTGAAATTTCTGGATACAAAACCATCATTTCCGGGGTGTTCTCCCAACTTTTGGAGGTCAAGATCCCCTGGTTACAGCCATTTTATTTTCCTCTCTGGCCTGCTACTCCACGGGCAAAGCCGTCGCCAGCATCAAGTCATAGGACAAATGTAGGTTACAAAACAGATGCGGCGTTGGAGAGCGAGGTCAGGCCCCCGAATTTTTGCTAGAGGCAGGAACACCCCGTTGATTCTCATAGACAGATAGATAGATAGATAGATAGATTAGATTAGATTAGATTAGATTAGATTAGATTAGATTAGATTAGATAGATAGATTAGATAGATTAGATAGATTAGATAGATTAGATAGATTAGATAGATTAGATTAGATTAGATTAGATTAGATTAGATTAGGTAGATAGATCGATAGATCGATAGATCGATCGATCGATCGATAGATAGATAGATAGATAGATAGATAGATAGTTATATATATATACACGCATTTTATCAATTTATCACCTCCGAATTACCTTCAAGAGATTTTAAGAATTTTTACCAGTAGGATTTCACTTTTTGATCTTGACTTAGGGGTTGCTACCATCTGTATAGATGCAAAACTTCAATATATTGCAGGGGGATGAGGGTCCCTTGGTGTGCCGCATCTAACAAAGACCGCACCAAGTGGATGTGATATCGGTGCCTGGCCAGCGCTGACGTACCTGCAATTTTAATATAATATAATATTATAGTCCCGCCCCTGGGCGCATATAAGTCGCAGCTGGGGGGGACATATAGTTTATCGCTGTTGCTTTATAGGACCAACGTCTACTGTGATTATACGTCTATATATATATATATTCTTATTATTTTTCATTCTTCGTGTCAGTGTCCTGTTGGTGTTTTTGCACGTCCGATGCATTCCACATCAAAATTTGCAATGACTGTTCTGAGCAAGTGTGTGATTCATGCTGGATTCGTCAAGGTGGCATGAACCCTTCGGGGAATGCTTTTCTAAGCAGAATGTGGATGCAACGACCCGATGTCTGAATTTACACATTTCAATTTAGTAATTCGTTTAAGTAAAGTGAAACAGTTGTTCACCTTTCAGGTCTCACTCTGTCAGTCGATGTGTAAAACCACTGCCCGCTGTATCGGGGACTCACCACTTTTACTGGAGAGCAGCTGCATAGCCTGAAGCCGCGCCAACAATTTCCTTTTTTGAACAATGCTCGAGAGTTGACTGACATTTCACAGACATGACATCAGCAAGGAACTTACAGGCAGGTCCACGTCCTTAGGTTTGGTCTTTTGTCTCTTGATGGTCTCTGGTGAGGTTCAAATGTGCACGTAATTCATTTGAACTCTGACAGCCGTCTATGGGGTTGACGTGAAATTGAGGCCTTTGAGCCTGAAACAAGGGGAAACTTGCACGATCGTGTGGATGTATAATTTCATTAACTAGTCCCCCATGGTTCCCCTATTTCATGTGTTCGCCTCTCTACAGGTAGGTTGGGTCCTTCGCGTGCTGAGGTAGGCGTAGGTTTTCGCCGTGTTAGGTTGGTTCAGGCGCTTCCCCCCCCTCCGCTGGTCTTGTTCGGTTGTCCGTCGGCCTCCGCTTTTCTTTTCCCTTGCCTTTTCAGGGTTTGCCCGTTCCGGGCCAGGTGTGTTGTGTTGGTGTTCTCTCTGTCCCTCTTCTTTTGCATTCCCCTCTTCGCGTCCTGGTTAAGTAAATTTCATTTCATTTTCATTGTCATCTCACTTGTATTTTCATTTCATCTGGCCCGCTGCGGTGGGGCGTGTGTGTGTGTGTGTACCATCTGTAAAGATGTAAAACGTCAATATATTGCAGGGGGATGAGGGTCCCTTGGTGTGCCGCATCTAACAAAGACCGCACCAAGTGGATGCGATATCGGTGCCTGGCCAGCGTTGACGTACCTGCAATTTTAATATAATATAATATTATAGTCCCGCCCCTGGGGGCGCATATAAGTCGCAGCTGGGGGGGACATATAGTTTATCGCTGTTGCTTTATAGGACCAACGTCTACTGTGATTATACGTCTATATATATATATTCTTATTATTTTTCATTCTTCGTGTCAGTGTCCTGTTGGTGTTTTTGCACGTCCGATGCATTCCACATCAAAATTTGCAATGACTGTTCTGAGCAAGTGTGTGTTACTCGGGGGTTTTCTTGTTGATTGGTCCCAAGTTGTAACTGGGTGGAATCTAGCCTCGCGGCATCCTAACATGGAACCTGATCATTTTGCTTTACACCGTTAGATAACGTTAGCTTTTGGGTCCGGAAGCCCTTTCCAACGCTTCAGTGTTTCTTGTCCCAGGACAACAAGCGATGGATGGAGCACACCAAGACAATCCTGGATGCCATTCAGGCCACGGATGGCATGTTGAGTTGCGTCCACTTTTCTTTATGGCTTTACTGCCGCGGCCAACATTTTTTGGGTCCAGAATCTAGCGACATTTTTTGGGTCAAGTCTTGATGGCCGTGAAGGTCTTCCGCATTTCCGGTACAAGACCAGCAGCCCTCATATTTCCTCGGCAAGTTCAGCATCACTATCACTTGGTTAATGTGTTTTACAACAATTGATGGTAAACCAATATTCAACCAGTTTTTTTTTAAATCACTTGGTAGTAAAAAAAAACACTGGTATATCACCTTTTTTCTTTAATGTTTACCACCAGTCATCAACATTTTTCCCATGGCTGGTGTTTTTTCCATCACCTCCAGGAGTCGGATCGTCACAAGGACGAAGATGTCAAAGAACGGCAGGCGTGGAGGAGATGGGCGGCGACCGATTCGGTGGGCCGTGGAGGAGATGCAGGTCCTGGAAGAAGGAGGAGATCTAGTATCTATGTTATATATATATGTATGTAATGTAATGTAATGTAATGTATGTTATGTAATGTAATGTAATGTACTGTAATGTAATGTAATGTAATGTATGTACTGTAATGTACTGTACTGTACTGTAATGTAATGTAATGTAATGTAATGTAATGTATGTAATGTAATGTAATGTAATGTAATGTAATGTAATGTAATGTAATGTATGTAATGTAATGTATGTAATGTAATGTAATGTAATGTAATGTACTGTACTGTAATGTAATGTAATGTATGTAATGTAATGTAATGTACTGTAATGTAATGTAATGTAATGTACTGTAATGTGATGTAATGTAATGTAATGTAATGTAATGTAATGTAATGTATGTAATGTAATGTAATGTACTGTACTGTAATGTAAGGTATAATGTATGTCATGAATGTAATGTATGTAATGTATGTAATGTATGTAATGTATGTAATGTATGTAATGTATGTAATGTATGTAATGTAATGTAATGTACTGTAATGTAATGTAATGTAACGTAATGTAATGTATGTAATGTAATGTAATGTACTGTAATGTAATGTCATGTAATGTAATGTAATGTAATGTATGTAATGTAATGTACTGTACTGTAATGTAATGTAATGTAATATAATGTAATGTATGTATGTATGTAATGAATGTAATGTAATGTAATGTAATGTAATGTAATGTAATGTAATGTAATGTATGTATGTATGTAGTGTAGTGTAGTGTAATGTAATGTAATGTCATGTAATGTAATGTAATGTAATGTAATGTAATGTATGTAATGTATGTAATGTATGTAATGTAATGTACTGTAATGTAATGTAATGTACTGTAATGTAATGTAATGTAATGTATGTAATGTATGTAATGTAATGTAATGTACTGTAATGTAATGTAATGTAATGTAATGTACTGTAATGTAATGTAATGTAATGTAATGTATGTATGTATGTATGTATGTAATGTATGTAGTGTAATGTAATGTAATGTAATGTAATGTAATGTAATGTAATGTAATGTAATGTATGTAATGTATGTAATGTATGTAATGTATGTAATGTAATGTAATGCAATGCAATGTAATGTAATGTAATGCAATGCAATGTAATGTAATGTAATGTAATGTATGTATGTATGTATGGATGTATGTATGTATGTATATATGTATGTAGGTACGTAGGTAGGTAGGTAGGTATGTATGTATGTATATTGATATCATGGTGTCCCTTAGCTTTTATCATCCAAGGATGCGAAGTAGCCAACCTAACTGACCTGCGATCTTTTCAGTACTGACTGTGTGTTCAATGGTTGATTGCCAGCCTGATTCACCTGGTAAAACCCGTTTGGTATGTTGAGCATTGGAGGATCAAAATCCTCGTCGTTCGAACGGACCGTAGTCCGTGTTGAAGAGAAATGATGGCAGTGTATCATTGGGAACTCATCCCTCTTGGCGGTGGAGTGCTTTTTAGTCTACGAACAGATGCGAAATTATACACAAACGAAAAAACATAGGATTTATATTGATTTTTATGAATTGTATGCATTCACATGTGGGTCTAAATATATGAATCTATATGAATTTATAGGAGAAACACAAGAAATCTATGTCATCTGTCATCAAAGAGCCATGGTTTCCACATTTCTCCCAGCGTTGTCAGGTGGCGATTCTCTTCGCCGAGCTGCCAAAATTTCTGCATCTGTTGCCCGCCTCAGTGCCACAGAGCAGTTTGGAGCTGGAACTGAACCGCGAGGACCCGGTAACAACGGTGTGAAAATGGGGTACCCTCTGGTAAACATACAAAAAACTATTGAAAATTGCCATTTATAGTGAATTTTCCCATTAAACATGGTAATTTTCCATAGCTATGTTAAATTACCAGAGGGTAGTGTGGGTAAAACAATAATCATAAACCACCCATGACTGAGAATGGTTTATACCACCTATAAAATCTTATAAAAATGGTGATTTGGGGGATGGCTTATGGCATTGTTTTACCATGTCCCACATTACTCCCAAATCACCTGTTTTTTTTTTCAGAATTCTTCCATAGAAAATGGCCATTTGGTTTTTCCCATTTTTTCCCCAAGCTCAGAGCACCCTATTTCCTTATTCTGGCTGGTTCCAAATCCCAATCTGGTTGGTGAATCCCATGATAAATCTCCATTACTTTCTATCATTTCACAGATCTCAACTTTCCTAACACTGAATCCCACCAAGAAATCCCCCCATTTAAGGACATCTTACAAACATCTCTGGTTCCTCCCCACGAAAAATCTCGATCCTTGACGTCTGACGGCGCCCCGTTGCGTCCACCAGGAAGACCCCCAGATGCGATGGCTGAGTTTGCGGCAGAACAGTCTCCTACGGCAGCCCGTTGCGGCCTGGCGCTTCCGGCGCAATGAGGTACTCATGCTGCTGCAGGCGCCGGAAATGGAGTGGGTGGGTGGGTGGGTTGAAATGGACTGTTTCAATGAAAGGATCTGGGATTTAGTTTGTTTTTTGGTGTAGTTAGAGTTGTAATTATAGTTGAAATTGTGGTGCGCTGCATAGGTGTCAGGCATACTTGTAGTTGTTGTTCGAGATCTTTGCTGCCGTTGAACTCCATGGAGTGTGCCAAGACTTTGGTCGCTGTTCAGATAGTCAAACTTTGGGATCCTGTGACCACAGGCTTTGATCATTGTTTGGTACCAGGCACCAAACCATTTTATGGTGCGCAGCTCTGAAGCATTACCACCTGTGTACTGGGAGAATCCGCCCAAGAACTACCGAATAAATGCGCGATTGATCTACCCGAAGGCCTTGATTCCCATGCGAGATCTGGTCCATCCCATGACTATATTTGAGCAATACGCAATAGCCTAGACATCCACATAGAAAAAAACAGCTGGGCTAGTTTCTTTCATTCTCAAAGAATTCGAAAAAGGCAGGTGGTTTGCTCTCTTTCAGTTCACTTTTTTGGTATCCCCATTTTGGACATCTATGTTCGGCAAAAAACTGGTGGGACCCTTTATTGCAGTACCAAAACTGGTTGCTGGTGGTTGGATACATGCATCGCATTTGCATTGCATGACACGACACGACACGACATGACAATACATGACGTACATGTCACGTGCATATGATATGTATATATAATATATACACATTTATAATATAAATATCGAATGTATGTATGTATATGTATGTATGTATATATATATACATACAGTATATATATACATACATATGCAGCATATGCATAAATCTACATAAGTGTGAATATTTATGCAGGCACATACATTTCTGCGAATCATCGCAGTGTATAGCTTGTCAGAAAATCGGTTTAGAAGCTCATTTTACGGAGGATTTGATGGTCATAATTCTAGAGTGAGAAAAATCTGAACAACCTTATGGTTGTTCAGATATCCAGTCTATTCCCATTCTATCCCCATGACACCTCAAAAATCATGATTTCATATGACTTTCCCATGAAGATTCGAGAATTTTCTTCCAACCCCGGTCATTTTCGTTCTCCAAAGCTTCCTGCGTTACGCGCCAACGCGGTTCAGGTGCTGAAGGCCTGGACCTTGTCCTCTTGGCCCAAGGGCGGAGCGGAGATGGGCATGGATCGCGCCAGCTTCTGTAGGCGCCGTGGACTTCGGATCCAGCTTCTATAATCCATATAGATTTAAATCCATATAGAACCTATATATATATGTGGTTCATTATGGATTATAGCACCATATAACCATATAAACCACAATAGTTCATTATAGCACCATATAGAACTGGGGATATTCCACATATATAATATATACATATGTATATCATTATATATAACTGGGGGGTATATATATATTATCCCACATACAAAACGTGGTGATGCTTTAGTATTATTTGCCAGTGTTTTGGGGACTGGCCGTGGTGACTGGTTGGAACGTGTTGCTACTAAAAAGTGATAGAAACGTATCCTTTCTCATGTGTGAACAAACATGTTACATTGTTACATTTCGTGTACAGAACGATGATGAAAAATCCTTGCCTTTCATTTGATTGATGGCTGGAGTTGCACATTTTCAAACTGGAATATCTGAATTTTCCTTCATAGAGCTACCAGTTGCTGTCACCAACCGGTATTTTAGTTGCTCACATCCCCATCTGGCATTGAGAAATTGCTTGTCTCCCCCTGGTAGTGCTGACGTTAGAGCCATTCCTCAACCGCTTTCGGTTGCTAGCTGCTAAGATCCGTTTTTTTTCTCCATTTCTCAAGAGTGAATTTTCCGCAAAATGGCGACATTTCTAGCATTGTTGGCCAGGTAGGTGAAGCATGGCCAATGCTGTTCGTTGAGTCAGCCACTTTCAATTTGGCAAATGGGTCAAAACTGGGAGACTAGACTTACGACTTATATATCCAGCAAAAATACTCAACATTAGGACCTCCCAAAGAGATCAAAAAGTACAATTCTATTTTTTTTGTGTGTGATAAACTTCAGATCATCATCATCATCATCACCATCACCACCACCACCACCATCATCATCATCATCATCACCATCATCACCACCACCATCATCATCATCATCATCATCATCACCACCATCATCATCATCATCAACATCATCAACATTATCCTACATTATCCTCCCACTCCCCCACACTGTTTGGGGTCTTTTGCCGGGATATTTTTTTTCAGTTGCCGTGTAGCAGCTGCCGCTGCCACTCCCAGATTCATTTTGGATGTTGGCTTGGTGGACCAGCACAAGGCCAAGAAAGGATGATGGGATATGGGGTGGCAACTGAATCAGTTTCATGGGAGTTTAATATAGGAACTAATATGGGACTATTTTTTGGGAATATATTCCAGGATGAGGGAACATACTCGAATGGGAATGACAATTCTGAAAATTCATGGGAATATTTTTTGGGAAGGGAGTGGTGATTCTATGCGGTAGACCCAATAATCATATGGGTTTTCTGGGGGATGATGGACATATTTCATAGGAATAATTGGGAATTGTAAGTGGTGATTCTATGGGTAGAATATCAGACACACCCAGATCATAAACCGCTGATCCACAAGGTGAGGCCCTCAAACAATAGCTAAGGGCTGGTTTGTCACTAGCTGCCACTAGCTAAACTGTGGTTTATGGTACATATATGTATATATAAATATGTATAAAACAAATAATTATATATCTATAAAAATATATTCACAATTATATATATATATATATGTATATGTATTTTATCTCTCCGGTAATCAAACATAGCAACAGAAAGTCCACCATATATATATATACACATGTTTTTCAGCGCTAAAACCCTCCATTGGATTTTCCAGCCACGTTTGATGACACTGTTGGAGGTAAATCCATTCATATCCAATTATTGTCCCATTCTTAACCCCCTCAAAGCAATAGAAATGCATGTTAAACCACTGGAGGCGACTATCACCAGAGGATGAGTCAACATTTAAGCCCTTACCACAGATTTGAGCTTATGTTTAGTATTAATAGTCTATTCATAGTATTCATAGTATAAATAGTATTAATAGTATATACATACATCAATCATCTACCATCTGGTTATTTAACATAGCCATGGAACATCACCATTTTTAATAGGTAAACCAACAATAAATGGACCATTTTCCATGGCTATGTTAAATAACCAGAGGGTAATTAAAAAATTGGGTACTCTTCATGCCTTGACCGCCCACGTGACTTTTTTTTTGTTAGGTGCCATACTTCTGGGCCGTGCACCTCTTCGACCTGTTGGCCAAGCAGATCCGTTTCTGCGCCGTGGACGATCAGATGCTGAGCAGTGCGCTGCTGCCCGTGGTCTTCTGGTGGGATCTCTTCCCGAAGCTCGAACGAAGAATGCGAAGAGGAGAATCATCCCATGGAGGATCCTAACGATGAACCGAGGGATAGGAACTATAGTAACCATAGTAACATGGGAACCATAGGAACCATAGGAAGCATAGGAACTCATCCCATTAGGAACCATAGTATGATAGCCGTAGTAACTATTTGGGATAAGCTACTGGGGAACGATCACCAGGGTGGAACTAAGCACTAAATGGGATGATTCTCGAACTAGGAAGATTTTGGGAGATTTTGTTGGATAGCGGATAGTGGTTGTGAGCCCATAGATAAATTCATCGGTAAAGAAGACAACTCGCGAACTAAGCCTTAATTAAGTAACATCAATGAGAACCCGCGCAAGAGTGGGAAAACCATTCGGCACCCCTTAGAGGGGCCTAGTTATGTATATCACCGGGTGGACGCGCATCCAAGAGGAGTTGTATAGAAAACCTTGAAGGGCCACTGGATTCAGCGGGGTTCTGCGCAGAACTTGCGGAGAAAGATGGCATTGAGATGAATCACAATGTGGGAAGCTCAAGAATAAACAATCCCCACATGGAAAGCAGAAATAGGAGAAGTTTCGGGTTGTGGGTTTAAATCTAGCATAGCTATGGAAAAATGGACCATAGTATATACATATATGTATATCACATGACTTGCCAACAAAATTATATATATATATATATATAGTGGTTTTCCATAGCTACGCAGCTACGCCCGATTTCCAATTCGGGGACCAGCTGAAATCACAGGGTGATTTTTCAAGGATCGTGGAGCACTTGGCTGGGCAACACTTTAAGATCGGGCAGAGCAATCTGCGGGTGAAATTCATCGAACACCTGGCAGCTCGTCACGGGAGGGCCTTGCCGGCCTGGGACGCGGTTGGCCCTGGCATCATCCAGTATCCACCCACGTGGGGAGGAGTCTTTTCGGGTGATTGGAGAATGCTCTCTTCAGGGATGCTCCCGATCGTTGTGGGTGGCATTTTCGAAGCCAATGGATGGTGGATTCTGACAAATTTCTGAAACAACAAGCCATCTGTGTTGGTGAAACATCCGTAAGTATTGGAAGTTTCCAGGATTTTCCCATGACCCCCCCGGGCTGCTACCGCTACCGGGTACGGCTTCAGGCGGAGATTGCTCGGTTGCGTTTGCCCAGCTTTGCGCAGAAGGTGATGAACATCAGCAAGGTCGGATCCAGTCGCGGAGAGTCGCGTTTTGTAAAACATATCCAGAAGTGGAATCCCAATATATGAGCTATGGTCAATACTCATGGTTAATAACCATTAATAGGGGCTAGTCATCCAATGGTTCATAGGGATTTATAATAACCATTATAAGGATCCTTATTATGGATGGGATGACCGTCAACCATATAGTGAGTATTGACCATGGCTCATATGGGTGGTTAAAACACTTTGGTTGATGAAAAAGCCACACTCATCAACTTTGATATGATATGGGTATAGAAAAAGCGTTTTAATATGGTTTTTGGGTGTTAAACCAATTTTTTCAAACCATGTACTACCATAGGATGCTACCAAACTATGAAGTAAGATGTCAATAATCAATGGATTGGTTTAAGGGAAAATTTACAGGAAAGCCCCATATTTAATGGGAAAATCTATGGTTTCCTGTAGATTTTCCCTTAAACCAATCCGTTGAAATAAGCCCACAGCAGATTTCAAAAGCCACTTACATATCAACCATATCTGGGGATCCATGGTGATGGGGGATCCATGCTAACGTTGTAACGATCATCCAAGAAGGGTGTTGTAACTTTCATTTATATCCATCCCGATATTATGCACATAATATCTATATTAATACTTGTGTTTGTATGCATGCATGTATATATATAATAGTTACAGATATATACAACTATAGATAACATACAACATATGTAGATGTATAGGAACCCAGAAAAAGATAGACAGCAAAACTAAACTATGATATCCAGTACTCTGGTTATATGATTAAAATAGTGGTCACATTACTTTTCTATCCCGTTTTTGCGGGGGTCAGCCTCAGGAGCACCTAGAGTTGATGCACCAAGGTGGCAATGGGATCATGGCGGTTTGATTTCGTTTCACCTTGAACGGGGTTACCATGGGTTTCAACGGGATATATATATATGTATATATATATATATGGGTTGAGTCCGTCCTAATAGCTGTAACAGTCAAAAAAAGGATTTCTTTATATTTTGGGCGAACGTTGTTTTGAGTGTTTTCCTTCGTGCACAAAATCGTGCTTTTCGGTGCTTTCCCTCGTGCAAAAAATCGTGCTCTAGATCGTGCTTTTTGGTGCTCTCCCTCGTGCACAAAATCGTCTTTTTGTTGATGTCCCTCGTGCCAAAAATCGTGCTTTTTGGTGCTCTCCCTCGTGCCAAAAACCGTGCTCTAGATCGTGCTTTTTGGTGCTCTCCTTCGTGCCAAAAATTGTGCTTTTTGGTGCTCTCCATCGTGCCACAAACCGTGCTTTTTGGTGCTTTCCCTCGTGCCAAAAATCGTGCTCTAGATCGTGCTTTTTGGTGCGCTGCCAAAAATCGTGCTCTAGATCGTGCTCACTGTTACAGCTATTAGGCTTGTGTCAATATATGGGATATATAGAACTATTGGATATAGATTGTTTTGATGGTTCCATTCTGTCGGGCAAAAATCCTGATTGTTTTTCTGAGTCTAATTAGGCTTAGTCCACTTATAATTGGGGTGAACAAAGCCGACTTAGTAGGATGAACCACCAACTACTTTGCGATTGAGGGCTAGCTTCGACGGGGTTTTGGATGTGGATTCAAATCGAAAAACATGTGGGATATTAACGTTCACATACCTGCACCCTTTCGGGGATGTAGCTCTAAGTTCTGGTGGGTTTGTGGCTAGTTGCTGCTAGTTGGATGCAACCAGCGTTTTCGTGGTATCTATCAGTGACATTTTATTCTGGCGCATCCCGTTTCTGTCATGAAAATAGCCATCAGTTGATTGAGGAATAGAGGAAGAAAAATCAGCAGTGGCGCGAGTAATTTTCATGACTCCAAGGATCATCGGTCCGGGATTTGCTATGATTTTCTATTTTCCCAATGGGAAATCCACTTGGGGAATCTAGAGGGAACATGTTTTTTTGGCGTTGCAAATCCAAGACTTCGTTGGGTATACTCAGTACTTTTCACAAACCCAATTTTTCAGGATCTTGGATGATCTTGGAGATGACTTGACAAACCCAAATCTTTCGGCATGTATTGGAAAAAATGCACATTCTTCCATATGACTGGGGGAATACCCATCTGTAAATCCCAGCTATTTTAGGGGTACCTATTATCGTACCACTCGGGGCCCAAGGTTTTGACCCATAGCCATGTGCGAAACTCCATTTTTTCCATCTTTATTCGCTCCAAGCACACTCGGCCAGCAATCAAATTGCACAAAGACTTGCCCTGCTGTGAGATTTGGCTCAAGATATTTTGGATCACCAACCTGTTTTGGCAATATCATTGTCAATATCGGAGAAATAGACCAGCTAGTACGTTTTTTTTTCTACCAACGTTACTTCGCAATTCGGATTTACCTGAACAAGTTTTTTTTAATCCTGAAATGTTTGAGACAACATCTTCACACATTGTTTATGTGAAAAAACACCTGAAACATCTCTGAAACATCACAGTGTTGAGCGTCCTTCTCCAGAGATGTTTCAGCTCACAGTGTCGCTGCCGAGTGGGCGCAGCGAGAAGCTGTTTGTTCCGAGGTCCTCTGCAGTAGGAGACTTAAAACTCTTGGCCCAGAAGACCTTTGGACAAGGCTTCTTGAGGCTTGTAGCAGATGGGAAGCTTGGAATTGCTGAATTGTCAGGTGTTTTTGTTTATTTTCAACAGGACAATCTGGCAAAGAAGGGGAATTCATGTGGAGATATTCTTGTATTTATATCATTTATATATATATATATATATCATATTTATGGGTCAAGCAAATCTCAGGAGAATTTTGGATCCCATGGAATCTTTAGAGACTGCTGGGCTTCAAGATGGAGACGAGCTATGCGCCTTGGCAATTCCCTTCCACCTGGCAGCAACCAGAAAAGGTCATTTGATCATTTTTGCGGGTGGAGCCTTTTGTATCTGGTGCTGTGACCGACTTGTCACATGGGGCGATCGCCTAAATGGTGGTGACAGCTCTGCGGTCCAGGATCAGCTCAGAAATGTGCAGAAAGTTTATGGCGCCGCTCGGGCCTTCGCTGCTCTCCTGGAAAATGGACAGGTTGTGACTTGGGGCGACCCAGAACGTGGTGGCAAAAGCCTGGTTCTGAGAAATGTCCAGCAGCTTCAGGCCACGCTTGAGGCATTTGCAGCGGTGCTTGCAGATGGATCGGTTGTTGCTTGGGGCAACAGAGACTTTGGTGGCGACAGTTCTTGGGTCCAAGATCAGCTTTGGAACGTTCAGCAAGTGGAGGCAACAGGTGGCGCATTCGCAGCAATTCGTGGGGATGGATCGGTTGTAACCTGGGGCAATGGATTTCGTGGTGCAAACAGCTCCGAAATCCAAGATCAGCTCAGGAATGTACAGCAGATCCGAGCAACGACTTGGTCCTTTGCCGCGATCCTGAAAAATGGATCCGTTATTACCTGGGGCGATCCAGACAGTGGTGGTGACAGCTCCGCAGTTCAAGATCAGCTCAGAAATGTGCACGAGATTCATGGCTCTGGCCGTGCATTTGCTGCCATCCTGACAAATGGATCTGTTGTTGCATGGGGCAGTCCAGGGGATGGTGGCGACACATCTGGAGTCCAAGATCAGCTTCATAGTGTTCAGCAGATTCAAGCGACTGCCAGTGCGTTTGCTGCGATCCTGGCTGATGGATCAGTGGTTGCATGGGGCGATCCAGAATCTGGTGGTGACAGCTCTAGAGTCCAAGATCAGCTTCAGAGGGTGCAGCAGGTTGGAAGCACACAGCGGGCATTCGCTGCGGTCCTGGGAAATGGATCCGTTGTGACCTGGGGTAGTGCGCATTTTGGTGGGGATAGCTCCGCAGTCCAGGACCAGCTCAGAAATGTGCAGGAGGTTGAGGGCACAGATTGTGCGTTTGCTGCAGTCCTGCTAGATGGCTCAGTTGTTACATGGGGCCACCTGCATTATGGCGGTGATAGCTCCGGGATCCAAGAGAAGCTCAGATGTTTGTAGCGCGCTTGCCGACTCCCTCTGCACTTCAATGGGGATTCCAAAAGTGTTGATTCCGGCCCAACATGGTGCTGCCATCAAATGCCAATAGTAGGGACAAGCACACTGCCTATCTGCAACATCCACCAGGATCTTGTTGTATGGAGGTTTCCTAAAATGGGTGGTGCCCCAAATCATCCAAAAATTGGATCAGTTTAGTATTGAAACAACCTACTGTATGGTGACTCGGGGGATCCCCCCTTTTAAGAACCCCGTTTATATAGCCAAACATCTTATCTGTTGGGCCCATTTTGGGCTTCCCCTCTTCAACGTCTCCCGGGCGCTGGGTTGAATGCCTCTCTGACGGCAGGTGTGGGTGTTGATGATGAACAGATGACCATCACGGAGGATGGTCAAGACGGTCAAAACGTTGGCATCACTTAGGTAAGCCTCTGATCCGTGGAGTTTGGCCCCTGGCTGGGTGGTTGATACCACTCTGCCCTCTGGTTGATGAAGACAGGGCAACCCATGTATTTTTAACACACAGGAATACTTGTTCATTTAAACAGTTTAATTCTTTGTTGGTTGTCGCTTCAATGCACATGATTTTTCCATCGTCATCCTAAGATAGAAAGCGTTAGATCCATTGCTTTTAACTTTGAATTCATTCCGCCCATCCTGTGATGTCTTTGGTTTTCGACTGTCCATTGCCATCCAACTTCTCCCCTGTCATGATCAGCGCACACGTTTATGCTGCCATACGTGAACTGGGGATGGGTCAAACCTATGAAATTACCATATGACTGGGGGAATAAACATCCATTGACCAGCTACAGCTATTAATTATAGGGTACAGTTTGTCTACCCAGGGTTTTGACTTATAGCCAACTAGTTAAAGCTCTAAGATGGCAGGAAATCTAAGATTGGCCATGTCTTGCAGGACGAGACTGGAAAGCGTACCATTACCAAGTCCAGGAGACACCCGTTGCACTTGTCTAAGACGTGGGGTTGACCTTTGGGAATGGACTGAATGGACTACTTGACCACAAAAAATGATGGTTTTAGAGGCGCGACTCCCTATGATTTGGTGGATAAGATTTTATGGTTTGAAATGATGGGGATCTTAGCTGGAGCTGGTCCAAGAAATTGGACTATCCCTCAGGTTTCCTGTTCCCTAAGTTTCTTGATGTTTCTTGTCTGGCCAACAAAATCACACACTGCTGGTCACCAAAAAAACCCTCTGGTAATCAAACATTGCAATGAAACATCTTAATTTATATACGTATGATTTTCCCTCTCAAGCCTCTATTGAGTTTGGTGATTTACCAGCCAGCCATGTTTGATGACACCGTTGCGGGTATGATCCCTTCAACCGCGGAAAAACTGACTTCGAGCCAACTTTTCGAGCCAACTTTAGGAGCTTGCGAGCGCAGAATGAGAAGGCCCGGGTCCGAATCAACGGCAGACTGCCCGGGTGTCCATTTTGAAACCACCAAGCGATTTTAGGCTTCTAAGAAGGATTATCTTAAGATTGATATAATCTAGAGATCCTGACAGTCGGTGGCCGATTCACGAAATGGTGGGACTATTCCCACATTCTCCAAGTCATCCAAAGTTGGACATTTATGTGCCAACCGTTGATTTTCGGGGTCCAACACTTGTCAGAAATCCTTTTTTAGGATTCGTCAGCGAATCCTCATTCTTACTCCTTAAGTCAGTGAAATCACCCAGTTTTGTTACTTCAATCATCTAAAATTCCCCTATTTCTGCTGGAAGTTCTCCCGCATTGGCGAAAAAAGCCAGGCCAGCAGTAAGGTGCAGCTGCATATCTTGGAGGATGCGGCCAAGCAACGGCAGAAGAGTTTGTTGGTGGAGCCCGAGGTGGACGGTGGTCCATGGTGGTCCATTTTGATAGGGAGCTGAGCCAGCTGAGCTGGTGATTTCTAGTGCGGAAATGGGGATCTTGGGATTTACCATTGGTGAAGTCCTAAAATTCCAGAGATAGCCGGGATTGATTGTTCGTCATATCGAGTTTCTTTCATTGGGGCAAAATCGGAGGTTTGATGCCTATTTGGTTAGTCGGAATTAGCCTAGGTTTACACCGAGTTTATGATTTGATGATCCCAATTGACAGAATTTACTTTTGTTTAAGGTGTTGAGACTACCACCAACCACTGGTAGGTGTGAAGACCAATTTCTGTTAGATCAATTTTTCCCATGGTTAAGTCACCATTTCTGTTCACCTCCAGTAAATGAGGAGGTTTGATCCTGAAAACAGCCAGTTTTCAGTGGAAACTCTTCAGAAAGTAAGAGCCAAAGATGGTGAAATCATCGTTTTTTGGTTGATGCTTTTAAAACTAATGATGGTTAATTAGGATGATAAACTGAACATTTCAATGGTCAAATCTGCAGTGGACATGATTTCATCGCCCACCTTCGGGCGGCTGGAGACCTGTAGGTCTTGCAGCTGCTGTGGCAACACGAAGAGGTCTTCAAGGCTTTGCACAAAGCCTATGCAGACGACCGAGGTGCCGCCTGAAGCTGTCGCAGTCGCGATGTGACCACTTGAAGTGTTTTCATGGCAACTTTGTGGGGAAAAAGATTTCATATTATGAGGATATGGAATGGAATATATAACCAATACCAGTAGTACCGCACAAGGCGGTGGCGGAAGTTTCAGAAATAGAAAACCTATAGGAGAGGTTGGTTGTTGTGAATCACGGATGGCAGAGCGAAGCCACTGATGGACTGACAGGTGGTTGAGGTCTCCTCTCTTTCTCTCTCTTTCTCTCTCTTTCTTTCTCTTTCTCTGACTATCTACCTACCTACCTACCTATCTATCTATCTATCTATCTAATCTAATCTAAATCTAATCTAATCTAATTTAATCTAATTTAGTCTAATTATCTACCTATCTACCTATCTATCTATCCATCTATCTATCTATCTACCTATCTATCTATCTAATCTAATCTAATCTAATCTAAATCTAATCTAAATCTAATCTAATTTAAACTAATTTAATCTAATTATCTACCTATCTACCTATCTATCGATATATCTATCTAATCTAATCTAATCTAAATCTAATCTAAATCTAATCTAATCTGATTTAATCTGATTTAATCTAATTTAATCTAATTTAACCTAATTTAATCTAATTTAATCTAATTTAATCTAATTATCTACCTATCTACCTATCTACCTACCTACCTACCTACCTACCTATCTATCTATCTATCTATTTAATTATCTATCTACCTACCTACCTACCTATCTATCTATCTTTCTATCTATCTATCTATCTATCTATTTAATTATCTATCTACCTACCTACCTATCTATCTATCTACCTATCTATCTATCTATCTGTCTGTCTATCTGTCTGTCTATCTATCTGTCTATCTGCAAGCTTGAAAACGAAGCTATTCTGCGAGACTTCCTCAGTTTTTGAACATGACAACATCAAAAAACGCAGCAATTCTGCGAGACTTCCTCAATTTTTGAACTTGACAACATCAAAAACGAAACAATTCTGCAAGACTTCCTTCAAAAATGAAAAGATGAGTGCAGAGCTGACGGCCTCGTACCATTGCGTTTTGCGATTTTTCCACTCCACCTGTCTAAACTACTGCACCTGCCACGAAAAAGTGATGCCAGGTCATACGAAGTGCTGCACCTGTCACGCAAAATCATCTCAGCAAACCTGAAGATCTGATGCTGCAAAATGCAACCCCTCTCAGGAAATCAGCGCCCGGACCTCCTAACAGCTCTGATGAACATGTCTCTTGTATTGCGCCTGCCACGGACAACGCATCTTTGCAGATCCTCTTCAAATGTCCCACGCCTGCCATCGTTTTTGGAAATGCTACAAAACCATCACGTTTTGCTCATTTTTGACAAGGTGCACAA